ACATTATTATTGTAGTTTTAAGAACTATCAGTATTTCCTCTTAGCTGTAGGTAGATATTTCTTAGTCATCTTGCTCTCTCTGTAGATTATTTTTTTAAACTAGGGAGGAACAAGTCAAAATACAAAAAATCGTCATTGTGCATGTGTATACTCCCATACGGCACTATTCCCCTTTGTGAATTTTGAAGCGGAGAAGTATTGTAAATATAATGTAAACATCAGAAAATTTCACTAGTCATTTTCATAAGTTCCAGAACGTTGGAAAAGAGGATTCTGGACATCTTAGTCCTCTCAGCAACTAGACCCCTTTTACTTATCAATTTTAAAGTATTTTGGACACAAAAAGTAGTTTCCTATCAAAGTCTTTCTGTAAAGAAAGTCACTTTCTTTTTAGATTTCCATAAATAATGATTCACTCAACCTAAGTTTCTGAGCATCTATATGCTCAGTATTATAGAAATATAAAGGTAATAAAGGTAACTAAAAAATGGTTCACACAACTCAAGTAAAGAAAACATAAATCCCATCTCCCTACCTATTTCTCCAAACACACCCCTCCAAAAAAGACAGAGTAAAATTTGATTGTTGAGATAAAAGAAAGAAATGACACCATTCATACCTGGGGAAGTACTTTATGAAGGCAAAGGAAGTTAAGCTGGACATTGGAGAATGAAGGTCAGATTTCAACAGTTGGAAATAACAGGAAGGGCATTCTAGGTGGAAGAAATGGCTTGCGGCAGAGTGTGAGGAGGTGGGCGACAGCATTACAGATCATATTCAGGCAAAGGTGGGCAGATGTGTATGAGTGAAACTGTTTTTAAATTTAAAAGTCTAGAAACTGCGGTGGTTTTGGTCCTAATGTAAATAGCCTTGAGTACTAAATAAAGTCTTAGATACCGTATTTGCCGGCGTATAAGACGACTGGGCGTATAAGACGACCCCCTAACATTTCCACTCAAAATACAGAGTTTGTTATATACTCGCCGTATAAGACTACCCCCTCTCCGCACACCTTCCACACACCAAATAAAAGGTAAAACAATATTAGATTTGATTTTA